GGCTGCGCCAACTAAAGGCCAGCACACTGTGGCACCAGATTTTGCCGACTCCCATGACCGGGACTTCATCTCCATGGAGCATGATCGGCGCAGCCTTGCTGGTTCTGTCCGGTTTTTTAATACCGGATGTCCTTGCATGCATGGGTGATGGTCAAAGCTGTTCCAAAAGGTTTCCAGAGCCCCAGCATCTGGCAAGATTGATGCTCCCCAGCCCTCACCCGACCTAAACATGTGGGCGAACTGCTCGTGCGGCAACAAAACCAGGGAGGAGTCTGTATCTGCAGGCACCCCAGCCAGGGGTATGTTGATTGACAGTGGCTCAGGTACATCAGCAAGGCTGTGCAAGTGGCTTTCCAGGGACCTGGAGAGGTTGCGGCCAAACTTGAGGTTGGAGATCTGCTCCAGATTGGTCACCAAGTAACCCTCCCTTGTTTTCTGCAGGTTTGTCTGGGCTGCACTTCCAATGTTGTAAACCAAAGCAGCAGAGAGCAACCCCTGAGCCAGGCAGTGCATAAGGAGCTCATGCAGTTCGGAAGGGCATGAAACTGCCTCCTTTGCTGAGGCCTGCCTCTGATGCAGGCCTCCCTTCCTTCTCTTCCTCGCTGGAAGAGAATCGTCCATTTGGTGTTGCAGAGGAGAAGCTGCAGCGGCACCGACATGGGCCTGTCTGTGGAGTCTGTGGTCCTAAGCAGGGCCTTGAGCAACACCTGCCCTCTTCGTCTTTTCTAAAAACGGCCACGCAAAAGAAACAATATTGACAGCAAAATGAAGTAGATCACTTGAACAACAACCTGAAACGGTTATTCTCGAATATGGGCACTGCAACTTTTACACCAGTTCTCGATATATAATACACTTTCTGTTGGCCATTGCAAAGAGAATGAGGGATGCGCATCTCAGATCGCAGGGGTCTAGTTGCTGGATCTCGCCTGCATCACTTTGTGCTGGGCCGCCAAAGAGGCTGATCTCTCCTCCAAGCTCTCCACTTCCTTGGCCGACTCCTGAATGAACTCGTTGTAGGCCTCCACAGTCATCTGGGCACCATTCGGCATCTCAGCCCACTCATGCACATGAGCCAGCTTTGCCTTTACAGCCTGGCAGGCTTGGACCACAGCCTTCCTCAGAATGTCACATGTCACCCCCCAAAATCTAATCACATGAAACAAGCTTGAGGGAATAAACCTTAAACATTACCCTGTCTAGACCTTACAGATAATTGTGCCCTATCATGCTCTCCCACCCACATGTGTCCAACGGTCACATGAACTCAAGTTGGGGGAAGAAATCTTAAATCCTACAAACACTCAACCTAAAAAAATATGCAACCTTGATCCCAGAATACACATGCTCATGAAAGACAAAACTCAAGTCCCCATACAACTTGTTCGACTTGTCCATCGACTTGATCAATCTATGCACCGCACTCGTCAATCGATCGATGCTCACCATATCCGCCCCGAGCTGTTTCTTGGCAACTTCCCACTGCTCGTTTGACAGCTGGACCTTCCTGTCCTCTATGGCCAGGAGCGCAGGATCCCGACTCCCACTTGCCTTGTCAAAAAGGCCTATCTTCCAGCTGCTGGCCGAGTGCTGGAAGGCCTTAGCATCCTGCTCAGAAGCTTGCTGATTGGTTTCCACGTGAGACTTTGCAACCTTTCCTTTGGTGGTGGCCTGCTGCTCCTCATCCCAACAGTACTTCAACTTTCCCTCCTTCGTGCGGACCTCGTGGAAGTCTCCATCCAGCAGCCCCTGCTGGAACGTCTCCTCACTCAAGTTGAAGCGTCTCTTAAAGAGACTCTTTGGGAGGCTCTTCGTTTTCTCCTTCGACTCGGACTTCGTGTACGCAGCCTGTGCACATGTATTGATGTTCACAGAAAAATCACATGTGTTCAAGTTCGCAGAAAAATCACATGCTTACGTTATTGAATAACATTATACCAATCACGTGTGAACCCTCCCTCATGTTTAGGTTAGGGTTTAGGGGAGACAAGCCTTGATCGTTTTGAAGAAGCCCTTGTTGGTGTTCAACATCAACTTTCCGGATGAGGGATCGCGGTCGATCGCCAAGTTCACCAAACGTCTCTGCGTTTCGATCTTTGCTCCCTTCATTGTCTCGGATTTCTTCCACTGGCTGACCAGCCAGTCAGGAAGAAGGCCGCTCTTCAGGAGGGCCTGGAACTTCAGGTTCTTGCTTCTGTCCTTTGTGCTGGTAGCGGTTTCGTCAAGTCGAAAGCTTACCTCCGGGTCCTCAGTTTTCATTTCTTCCTCCCCACCCTCACAGACCTCACAGTCGTCCTCAAGGTCCACCACAGCACCTTCCAAAATGGTGGAGCTGGCTGACTTGGCTTTGGCCTTAGCCTTTGCCTGACCCTGGGTAGGCTGGGCGTCCTGTGCTGCTGGTCGCTTCATAGCAGGCTTCTTTGTCACAGCTGGCTCCTCAGTTGCCTTTGTATCCTTGCGTG